GAATGCTAAATGGAGCAAGTGTAGTGGGTAACTTTTGCTATTTTATTCACTAGAAAACTTAAGAGTTTGTTTGGTAACCTGGAAGAGAAACTGGAAATATAAAGTGAATTGGTTTTTGTTAATTTTGATGTTTGGTTTGCTCAATGTGCCAAATGAGAATGTGAAAGTGAAATACATCCAAATAGGTCCACAACTGATATGATGCCAAGCTGAATTTCCTATAAAAGATTGGAAATTAGTCCTGAAAAAGGAAAAGATAAGAGCACTAGTAATAAAAATATTTTACTTATTATTCATCTCCTCTTGTGTCTCCTACTGGTATTAAAGGGGATTTTTCTTTAGCATGTACTCTATAACATTTATTATTATGCTTATTATCATTAGATTATGTAGTTACTGCAATATTTAAATATAGTTATAGTCTTACGTAATAAATACAAAATATAAATATTGAACTCATAAAATCATGGTTACTAGCTTGTAAGAATACCATAGATGGACTCCAGCGAAGGAATTATTTTACTTCATGCTAGAAGGTTCCAATATCCCACTTTCAATTCATTCTTTTGTCATCTCCAAACAACTTAAGTTGTTGTAAGTTCAATACAATACTAGATGTATATTGTCTATCTCTTATCCAATTTCAAGAATTAGTTATTTGCAAACGAATACTCTAGTCACTTGCATGCTTTGGATTTACTTTCCCTCTTCAGCTTCGCTTTTAGTTTACCAAATTCCCCGGTGAAGTTAGAGTGATCTCTATTTAACTTTGGCTCGCATTATTGCGTTTATTTTGTTTCTGTTTCTTCTGTTGCAACAATGGTAAATCACCTTCTCATCCATTTTAATGCTTTTCCATTCTTGTCTCTTGCTTTTGGACTGGAAGCGGAATCATAATTTCTTTTTCATGTATTTTCTAATGTAGCACCACACGATAGGCAATTGGTATTCTGATATTATGTTGGTTGTTTGTGTGAATGGCAGACTGGGAGGCCATTGCAGATGATGGGGTAACAGGAGGACTTCTTCCTTCTCGGCAGGGAGAGACTTCTAGCCCTCCACGGGTGGATCCATCACCTAAAGAAGCTCCAAAAAGGCGTGGGAGAGGATCTTTTTTGTACCAAAAGAGTTATCTCTACAGTGACCAGCCTGATGTAGAAACTACCAACGGCAAGAATTCTGCAGCTGAGGATGAAGTGGAGGTTCATAATCGCGGCCTTGATGACGAGGATGACCAAGTATGGAATTGTGAGTATGTTTTCCCCCACTTCTTTATTGTTTATTGAGGTAGCAGTACTTAAATGAATGACTGCTGTCTTTTTGCTACCTTCTTCAGTAGGATACGGTACCTCGCATGTTCTTGTTCTGTATGATTTTTCTCCATCCACTCGGACGACAGATTTGGAGAAGCTATTTGACGACTTTAGGGATCGTGGGTTTGCCATTCGCTGGGTCAATGATACTACAGCACTTGCTGTGTTCAGAACACCATCGCTCGGTTAGTTAAACTTTCTATTCTCTTTTTCATAGGCACCATCTCTTTGTGCATTTTTCAAGAATTATAAATCACAACTTGCAATACATTATACACACATTTTGCAAATGTAATCTGTCAAAGTGCGGGGTAAACATCATGCTATTTATTTGTTTTCCTTGTTTCCCAGTCTTTTCTTCTTCTTTTTTTTTGACAGTTCATGATACCTGGACACTTATTTAATTTCAGCCTTGAATTTCACTTTAGCGTGGTAATAATACCAATAGCAGTTTATCCAAATATGATTGACTCTCAAAATGTGAGAGTTAGGATGGTAATAAAGGATGTTTGAATATCTGTATGTGGAATGATGATTAATGGGCCTGTTTGCCAACTCCCCCTAAACCGGCTAAGTGGAACAAAACCGGTTTAAATCCTGGCCCTAGCTTGGCAAAAAACTGGAACAAGACTTAATCTAGTTTTGTTAGACTAGTTTTTTTTTGCCTTAAACTGGTCTTGTTTAGCCGAGAAGGCAAAAACTGATTAGCCCAAAGCTGATTTAGAGGGGGAGTGCGAAACTGACCCATAACAACTGTTGATATTCATGGTTGTCTAGTGATATCACTGCAGATTTCGTCATGCAGATAAATCATTTTCCATATTGATGTGAGTTCAAGTGGTGCTAAAGAAACTAGACTTGTAGATTGTGCAAGGAAAGGAATAAGATTCACTGCAGAAGCTGTTCATTCAATTATTACGATCATAAGGATCATGAGTACCTTCTCATAGTTTAGAAAGGGGGTGGAAGGGATTTTAATAGATTATCAATGCAGTTGTCTGTTCAGTGACATTTTCAGTAGATTCTTTGTTGCTTTGAGAATCAAATATTACATCTCAATCTTCTAGAAGTCTTGGAGAGTCAGATATTGCATCTTAATCGTCTTGAAGTCCTGATTGTGAATTTGTGATACACATAATTTCTTGTGTTCAAACTAAAATGCATGCCTATCACATGTGACATGCCAGTTACCAAGCATGTGGCTGTTATGGGCCTTGTGGCTATCAGGGTATCATCTGTATACCCGTCTTTAGCTTATGGTATCAACCATTACTGTAGCAGATCTCCCTGATGGTTTCGCAGTTTCTTGGAAAGAGATGTTGGTGAAGTCAAATCTTTGATGCTTTAGCATAGAACTTCATGTATTAGCATTCATGTCATAATTGCAAGATTTTATCGGATATTCTTGCTGAATCTTTTGCATGCACTATAACATTATTGAGGTTTCTGTAATTCTGGATATGCAACCCAGTTGCTTATTGCATTATTTATATTCATCTGGATTTTTGCTGCTTTTGATAGTTGTAAAACAAAGTTTGTCAAGTCGTCTCTAATTAACTGACTAGCTGTTTTATCATACTCTTCTTGACTTTATATTTCTTCATTTCAAGTTCTTATATCAAACCTGCACCTTTAGAAGCCTCTCTCGATCATATCGCTGCTGGCCTGGACCGCGGAAAAACGTTCAAGCTTTTTAAGAGTTTGGAGAGAATTTTTTATTTGCATGATCTCAATATGCTATTGAGAGAAAACATCTTGTTTGTATTATGTTTAATATTTGGCTAACATAATGTGTTCAACCTCTCTGCTGTTGTAATGTAATATGATTTTCATTAGTCCAGATGTGTATACTTCACTCTATAAAAGATGCAGTTAAGTATGTTGCATTCTAACCCACCGCGAGCGACCTGGACAATTGGGAGGTTACAGTATGGCTCCAGAGGTCTTGGGTTCGATTATGGGTTGGGTTATCAAAAAAAAAAAAAAGAAAAAAAAAGAAAAAAGGGCATGTTGCAACTTTATTATAGTTGGACATTTCTCTACAGTCAACAATAAGCAACATTTAGAATCAGCTTGGAAACAATTTTTTTTATTACCTTGACCGTGTTTGAACTCGTCATATTTATTGCAGCTCAAGAGGCTCAGAGTACCATTAACTGCCCATTCAAAGTCCGGAAACTTGATGATGAAGATGATATTTTGACTCAGATCTCCAGAAGAGGTATATACTGTTATCTTCTCCTATGTTATCAATTTTTTCTCTTTTAAAAGATAATGGAGGGAAAAACATGTAAAAATAATAATTTATCCAAACTGATAAATGTATGATTGTTGGGATGCTAAAAGTATAGGATACAAAACGAGTGAAGTCATAAGAAGGTTGAGATGGCCATAGTTGATGCTGTGGATGTGGTTGATGAAATTGAACCTTCATGACATATTATAGGTCCGAACGCTGAAAAAGGATTCTTGTAGACAACAGCAAATTTGAATTTTTTTTGTTTCATGTTTTACATTAGTTCCCTCTCCAACTCTATCTTTTCTTTCCATCCTTTCCTCAGAAGTTATTTTATTTGCAACTGGGTAAATGCTTATGACCGTGAGTTTTTCAGATTTAGAACCTCCGATTCTGAGGCCAAAGACATCGGCAAGAACAGCACAGAGGTTGATAGCTCAAGGAATGGGAATCAAGTTCTCCACAGACTTCGGTTCTAATGAGCTGAGGAAACAAGAAAATGCAAGGAAAAGTCGCATAATAGCTCGGCAGACTATGAAGGATGATGCTTGGGGTTCTGACTGACCACAGAACTGGTTTTTGTGTTCAGTCTCCTATTCTTGTTCATGTTCGTATCACCGTTTTCATTGGCATAAATTTGATCAAGTGTATTGCGGATTTTGGAGAACGTGTTACTGCTGCTTAAGTGATGGGATGGGTACTTGTTAGAGTTTTGCTAATGCCCTGAAAAGTACTGGAATTCTCCCTCTATATTGTCGTCAGTTCTTGTAATCGTGTATGTGATAACACAGAAACATAGAGATAATTGGATGATAATAGCACAAGCGGTGATCTTTTTTTTTTGCCCCTTCTTCTATGCTTTTATTGTGATAGTAACATTTTGTTTAAATTTGGGGGAAATCGTGTCAATGCCCTAAATTTGAGAGGCCATGTGACCCAGCCCTCCTAGTTTTGCCAATGTGCTTTTAAGTCCTCAAAAATCGAAATTTATGTGTCCTAGTCTCCACATGTGAGCTGTAGCCCAATGATATGTGTATTTTTTTTATAAATTCCCTATTATACCCCTTAATTGGCCCTTCTATTACGGTCTGCCCCCACCCTTCTCCTCCTCCTATGAGCAAGATCTCATCTTTCTTCCATCACCGCTATACCCAATCCAAGTCCTTACCCAGATCTGACCTTGAATCCACCTCCAATAATGGCTATGCTTAAAGATATTTTCCTTTTATTTTTTGCTCTTGGACGTATATATGATAAGTAGTAAATAGTAACATTGCATGAAACGAGAATGTCTTTAAACTGATTTACCATCCAAACTAGATGAGTTGTTCGCCCCATTTTCAAATTTATGCGACGTACGGGGTAGACCGAGGCCCAATTAGTAAAAGAAGTTAATCCGTGATTTTGCTTGTATTGAAATGATGAGAAGGATAAAAATTAATTTTGAGGGGTATGTATGTCTGGCAAAGTTTAACAATAAAAAGAACATAAGATCACGAATAAATAAAATACCAAATTGTATAGCAAGGATCAATGTCTTGATCTCTTAAAGGAAAAACTCAACCTAAATAGTAAACACGATACTTTCACAAATAAATCTGTTGAATCTTCATAAAAATAGGCAGTCGTTATTGATGCAAACTATTCATTAGATCCAACTATGACGTGCGAATTTTGTTCTAGTACAACGAGACCAATTTTCGTTGTAAATGGAACATGGCCAATATATAGCAAGGTTTCTACAAAATCTCCTAGAACTCAAGGCTGCTCTTACTCCAGTAGTTAACTACACCTAGTTCTACAAAGTTATGTGACCTGACACTTCTCCATCTTTTCACATTATGGATCAAACTGCATTTAATGTGTCTGGACCTCTCCACATCAGCCGTATAGAACAAAAGCTATTGTATTTTGTAACAAATCCTAAATTATCCTTCTCCTTGTTCCCTGAACGCAACGCCCCCATCAAGGCTTTTCATGAGCGAAATTCAGATCTCATTAATGACAATTTGATGGATTAATTGTAGGAAAATTTCTCCCCATTTTTCTCTATCATGAGCAATAACTCTCTATTTAATTGTTTAGGGGGCTTGCTCTTAAATGCTCCTCTTGTCCTAAAATTCTCTCCATTACTCTTTCTAACTTCCCTTCATAATGGCTAAGAAGGCTATCATGTGTATGGTCTCCTCAGGTAATAAAGCAATTTTTTTAAAGATTAACTCTTCAACCACCATGATGTAACTCAAATTTAATGTGTTAGAGAGGTTAATACTTTCTTACGATTCTTTATCGTTGGCATACAAAGATAAAACAAACAATAACTTTAATTTTTCTATTGAGAACGAAGAAGCTCTGTCATCTATCGTGGAACATTGTAGCTATATTGGGTTAAAAGAGATTCACATGAAAGCTTTTTTTAGAAACAGAGGATTCTTTAGGCTTCGTTTGGATAACATTGTGTTTTTGTAAAAAAACACCATGGCATTGTGTTTTTCTCTTAAAGAGTTTTTAAAACACCATGTTGAGTGTTTTTTGCCAACACTAGTTTGACCCATAACAACATAAGTAAGAAACATATTATTAATATATTATATATTAATTATAATAAAATATATTATAAATAAAATATTATAATATTTGAGAAGAAAAGACTGTTTTATGGCGAGTTGGTGACTTAGATAAAAATATATAAAAAGTGAGGTTTGTTACTTATGATGAATGTAGAGAATTACAGATAAGTTACAGTTTGTGGTTTGTTTGAATGAGTGTATTTTATACAAACATATATTGTACACTCTAATGTTCAACAGACAATGTGTTTTCGCAGGTGCTATATATTGTACACTGTTGGACTATAGATGCTTGACATCGGTAACATTGGAGTATAGTAATGTTATGTTTGACCAAAAACATGCAGGCGAATAGAAAAATAAATTTGTGAAATCTTAGGGTTGAAAGCAAAAACCAACAATGTGCACTGGAGCTTGCCTTTGAGTCAGATAAGATAATGATGAGCTTGTTCTTGTTAAACAAGTTTAATAGAGAGGGTTTGAAGAAGAAGGAAGAGGGTGTCAAGCAATATATGCTGTAGCAGCCACATTCCTGACTCGAATCTTCCATAGATACCTACTTCACATACAATCCAACATATTCCACAATTAAGTTCGTGGACCCGGAAAGTAAGCAAGAACCAAAAGTCGTCCACCGCAATGCTACAAGAATTAAATCAACTTTAGAATAAGCAACAAGAAAAGAAAGAGATGGCAAAGCGTACATGTAGTAGATGTGGACAACTTGGACATTATAGGACTAGCGTTACAGCTTTAACAAGCACATAGGTATGCTTAATTACGTTGACAAGTAAAAATATTTATTACTTAAATCGTAATATTAATTTTATCTTTGACATTTTATGTAGCCGAAACTGACAGAACAAGACTAAAGAACAAAGTGTTATGGAGATGCACTTTTTTAAGAATTGGTGAGAAATTTCATTTTGCTTTGACTATATTGTAGTAATACAATATTTGTTCAAATCTGATATTGTATTTGTAAATTTTTTTAGGTTGATGGACATCACAAATTTGCTACTCGTTACCCTGTTTGTAGTAACACAGTTTGAACTTTCCTCCAACTTACAAATTCTGCAGCATATCAACTGAATGAATGGTGGAGAGTTGGGGGTCTAAAGCATTGCTGAAGTTATATGGGTCATCGTCATCTATGAAATGAATGTTGCGATGATTTTTGTATGGAAGTTGATTCTCTTTGGGAATGATCACTCTTTCTCAGGATGTTGTACAAGAATACGTTGCGAACATCATGTGTTCGGAGAATAACTTTATACATAGTTATATGGTTTATGCATTTTGGAGATGCCAAATATGTAACTTGAAAGTTAATAGAAGAAGTCATAGTTGTATTTAGCCTTTGTGACATATGCCTTTTGTAATCATGTTCGTATGTTACTCTATGATCTATAAGGAGAGGAAAAGCTTCTCTTTTAGTTACTTGCAACATTTTGGTGATATCATCTTTCTAATACACAATAAATAGATATACATGCTGTCATTTTCTGGGCCTTACACAAGAGTACCTCTGATATATGTGATATGTTTGAGTGGACCAATATGAAGAAAATCTAATGTTTGCTACTTACTGCATGATACAGATACAGTGTTTTGATCTTCCAAGAGGTGCTCTTTGCAGTTTCAATGGTTTAAAAGACTATTTGAAAATATAAATTTTAGGGACTAATATCTTAAAAAAACCTTTTGGTTGTCTGGTGTTTACAAGTTTTTACCTTCGACGGCAAATTATCTAGTTGTTGATGCATCAGTTGATGCTGTTAAGATACAGTAGAGTTAGAGAGAGAAACAGCTATAATTAGTCTAGTTCAGGTTCAGATCCATCGAATCGATTTATATACCTTTAGCGTTCGAACTTTGTTAAGCGAGTACTCTAATTGATCTTCAAGTTGGTTCAGGTCATTAAGAGTTAAAGTGCAAGAATCATGTTCAATCAGAGTCTATCAAAAGATTAAAGAAATTAAAATCATTGAGAAACTCACAATAACTTACAATAACATGTGCTTCATAGGTGAAACAGAAATTAAAATTTTACTACATTTATATATCATAATAACTGAACCAAAACAAATAACCATAACCAGTTTCGAAACATTTGTTTACACAATATGATATTTGGATACATCAGTCATTCACTGATATGATTGCTCAATCATTTGACTATAACGCAAAGACAACAATTATCATTACAATGATCTTATAAATTTTAAATATAAAATTACACACTTCAGCATTTTTTTTTCAAAACCTGCATCATTTTTTTCCAGCCTTCCGGCCTTTTTGTGATGTTCTTGGTATCACCCACCCATTTAAAAAAGTTACAACCCTTAATAATTAGGTCCTTGTATCTCGGGCATCTATAAATTCCAAGCCCTTATTGTGTCCTTACTTACACATCCATATTCGTGCAAATTAACCCACAATAACATTTCTTTGAACTAAACCATTGTGGATCATCCACTAAGTTCTTAGTCATTGATGATCACTTGATTGACATACATTATGGATGATCTGTTCCGTTGAACTTTGATCTACATACTCTAAAACCTAACACACCAAATTTGGGGTGAACCCATCGTGGTTTGACCCTCCGTCGAGCACTGTAAAAAAGTTCTATTCATTCGAAACCGTTAAAATTGATACGAGTGGTGAAGGGTCAAACCACAACGGGTTCACCCAAATTTGGTGTGTTGGGGATTTTAGAATATGTAGATCAAGTTCAACGGAGCAGATCATCTATAATGTATGTTAATCAAATGATCATCAATAACTAAGAAACTTAGTGGACGTCCATTAAGTTGACACTAGTTTTCTCTCTCTCTCTCTCTCCTCTCTATATATATATATATATAATATATATATATTATATATATATATATCATATATATATATATCAAGAAGAGGGAA